ATCGATCTATCTGGGGTTGCTTTCAAGATAGACAGGCACCGAGGCCAGGCGGAGAAAGAAGTTATTTCCGAGGTCAATTAAGGTGCTCCACTCTGTCATGCAGTGATTGGAGATTAGCCGCGACTGCAGGTGAAGAGATTCGCTTGACTGGGAAATAAACTGGGGTGCTGCTTCGGGTCTGTGTATGAGTCAGTGAGTGAATGTGTGAGGGAGTGAATGAGAGGGAGTGAGTGTGATAGTGAGAGAGAGTGGACTAGATGATGAAAGAACGAGGTTATAGGAGCGAGTGAAAGAAGGTTAGGGTGTATAAAAATGAGTCAGAGTGATAATGAATAAAAAGAGTAAAAGAAAGACAGACAGAACGACAATACAGAACATTCAGATCAAACAGAGAAATGAAAAATACCCCAAAACTATGTCACATCTCTTCCTCCTCTTCCTCCTCCTCATCCACCTCCTCCTTGTCCTCCTCCTTCTAGTCCTCTTCTTCCTTTTGCATGACTAGATGATGAAAGAACGAGGTTATAGGAGCGAGTGAAAGAAGGTTAGGGTGTATAAAAATGAGTCAGAGTGATAATGAATAAAAAGAGTAAAAGAAAGACAGACAGAACGACAATACAGAACATTCAGATCAAACAGAGAAATGAAAAATACCCCAAAACTATGTCACATCTCGTCCTCCTCTTCCTCCTCCTCATCCACCTCCTCTTGTCCTCCTCCTTCTAGTCCTCTTCTTCCTTTTCGTCCTCCTCCTCCTCGTTCTCCTCCTCGTCCTCATCTCCTTCCTTCTCGTCATTCTCCTCCTCCTCATCTTCCCCCATCACTAAGAACCTACCCAGTCTATTTGAAAGAGGACATACCCCCTCCCAATACGCTACAGGACACCAAGAAGGGTCCCTCACTACACACAAGGAAGGTCCCTCACTACACACAAGAAAGGTCCCTCACTACACACAAGGAAGGTCCCTCACTACACACAAGGAAGGTCCCTCACTACACACAAGGAAGGTCCCTCACTACACACAAGGAAGGTCCCTCACTACACACAAAGAAGGTCCCTCACTACACACAAGGAAGGTCCCTCACTACACACAAAGAAGGTCCCTCACTACACACAAGGAAGGTCCCTCACTAACATCAGCCAAGGGAGGAAAAATAAACACCAGCAGATCGACATAAAAACATCTTGCAAGACTAAATTGGCAGAAAGAAAAAAACAGAGCTGTGAAAAACTGGACAAGACACACCTTTTTATCTCTGTCTGTCTGTCCGTCCGTCCATACATATACAGTATATCAGGAGGAGATTATTGTTATCTCCCAGAAGCTTCCACCCTCTAATTAACACTTTCCGAAAGCCTCTTCCACTTATCTGAGGCTTCAACATCGTGCAATCTTCCATCATAGCTTAATAACTATATATATTGCCTTCTGGAAACCTACATTATAAACTGGAAGCCATCATTACATTTTAAAAGCATATTTCATCACCAAGAAATCTACTCCACCTCCTGGAAACTAACCTCAAATCCTGGAAGCCAGTATAATACATTCTGCATCCCGGAAACATCCAATGCCAGGGTTTTAATATTTTAAAGGGCGTCTTCATGTTTAATATTCCTGGCCATTTCTGGTTTCCATTATTCTTATATCAAATTATTAAAGAGAAAAAAAAAGGAAGGTTTTCAACATAAGCCTTCCAAAAGAGTTCTCAGTTTTTAACAGACTAATAATGTACGAGTTTTTATCAATATTCTACAGCAAAAAATAAATAAAAATAAATAAATAACAACAATTTGCCTTCATAAAAACATCCCTTTACTGACAATTATTTACAATTACTTTCATTGTTTAAAATACTCTCAACTCTTCAAATAACTCTCTTTTAATTAAACGGATAAAATAATTTTAACGTTCTTGTCAATATAGTTTGCGTCTAAAATGGTTTCCTGTAGGTTGGCCTGAAATTGGCTGGGGAACCAATGAATAATTATGAGCATATTATTTTGTCTTGATTGGAACCCTGAATCGGTAACCTTAATCTGCCATCCTTATTTTACCTATCCTTGTTTTACCCTCCTCAACACCACCTACCTATCCTTATTTTACCCTACCCAACACTTCCTACCTATCCTTGTTTTACCCTCCTCAACACCACCTACCTATCCTTATTTTACCCGACCCAACACTTCCTACCTATCCTTGTTTTACCCTCCTCAACACCACCTACCTATCCTTATTTTACCCTACCCAACACTTCCTACCAATCCTTATTTTACCCTACCCAACACTACCTACCTATCCTTATTTTACCCGACCCAACACCACCTACCTATCCTTATTTTACCCTCCCCAACACTTCCTACCTATCCTTATTTTACCCTACCCAACACTTCCTACCTATCCTTATTTTACCCTCCCCAACACTACCTACCTATCCTTATTTTACCCTCCCCAACACTTCCTACCTATCCTTATTTTACCCTACCCAACACTTCCTACCTATCCTTATTTTACCCTACCCAACACTTCCTACCTATCCTTATTTTACCCTACCCAACACTTCCTACCTATCCTTATTTTACCCTACCCAACACTTCCTACCTATCCTATTTTACCCTACCCAACACTACAATTTGCTATCTTCATCTGTTGCCTTAACATCCAGCCCCCTTCTCCTACCTTTACCTTTCTTTACCCGGTTCTCACCTGTCCCTACCTTTATTAACCTTACCTGCCTCCTACCTCAATTCACGTCACCTCTCCAACTTTGAGAGCTACAAATATTAGCTTCTAATTTGCGTATCTTGGCCCACAGAGATTGTATACCCACAGTCTAGGTACAGGTACTTATTTGTATATCTACACTATCTATGTATATTGTGTACCTGTATTGTCTATGCACATGCCGAATGAATGTAAACTTGTATGATGATTTTATGTTATACGATTGAACCAAATTGTCAAAGCTCTAGGTTCATAAAATCTCTGGCCCTGATAGTGTGCATTCCAGAGTGTTAAGAGAGTTGTGTGAAATGAGCTTGCAGAGTCCCTTAAAACCGCCACTGGATGATCAATCATAGGTTGGTGAGTTTGACCATCATAGTGTGTAAAGTACTAGAGAGCATTATATGTGATGCTGTATCTACTATGAAACAACTTTATAAAGGAATGCCAACACAGTTTTAAGCCTGGATGCTCCTACTTGATGCAATAACTTAAGATGCTGGATGTATAAACATACGGCAGTGTACTGGGACTGTTGTTATTGGTTTCATAAATGATAAGTCAGATGGTATACACTCCTCCATACAAATGTTTGCAAATGACGTTATGTTATTCAGGGAAATTAAGAACCAAATGGACTGTGAAACATTATAAGAAGATCTCTGTCAGCTTCAGGAATGGCCAAAGGAATGGCTGTTAAGATTCAACGGCATGAAGAAGATGCACCAAGTTGCACCAGTAGTAAGGAGGCGTATCACATGTCCTAACATGATGAAGAAACAACATTAACCGAGACCAAATGTGAAAAAGACCTGCGTGAGCGTGTTGACAATGAACTGAATTTCTCAGACCATTATGAGAAGAAGCTACATCAAGCAAACAAGCTACTGTCAGTTGACTGAGAATGTCCAAAGGAGGGCCACCAGACTGGTGCCTTCACTCCAGCACCCAGGTTAAAGAAGCCAAAGGTTAAAATAATTGTCAGACAAACTTTTTGGGAGTGAGAGTTGTGAACTCTTGGTATAATCTGCTGGAAAATATTGTGATGGCACCGAGTGTGAGTTCATTAAGACCAGACTTGACCAACACTGGCACAGGTTCAGATACATTCTGAAGCCAGTGTGTATCATATATGAGTACTTCCCAACAGTACATAACAGACGTGACTGACCGCCCAAGTGGCTTTCAGGCAAAGATGATAAACTAAAAGTAAACCTAAAACTAACTCCATGGCTTCACCCAGCTGTTGACCAATACAAGACAAACAAACTCAGTGATTGTTATATTCTTTCAAAACATGAGCAAGAATAACACTAGGGAAGCCTTCAAATAAGCTGCAGATAATACTAGAACATTATGACTACACATGTCTGTCCAGGAATTAAGGAGATAACTCATCCTTATTGCTGATATATACTACAAACATTTAACAAGTATAAATTTCACAAAGAAAAAGTTTTGTTAATGAAGTACAAAAACTTTCACATGAAGAAAGGTCTTTATCTCACCTCATTTTCACTGCTGATTTTTCTGCAAGAAGAGAACAAGTGATAAAATAGCCTGAGATGTGGTAGCGCACTCAAGGCACCAACATCTCCTCCTCCACTGTTTCTTCACATTTACCTGACAAGTTCTATCACTACTTATACATTTGATACCATGAGAGTTAGAGATAAAAGGTAGAATAGGATTCATATTAAGGAAGTTATAACGCTAATATTAACAGTAAATGTTTTCTATACTGCACTTATAGATAACAATGCAGATATTAATAGTGACATTTAAATCATTTTTTATACAGTTAACGTCATCAAGATTATAATGATGAAATATAACAAACAGTTTCATATAGTTAAGTCCTGTATTTTAATCATCTCTAAAATGTACCCCCCCCCCACCCACCCCTCATTCCCGTACACTTCACCCCTCAAATTTCCATGACCCAGTGCACCGTCTATTGGCCCAACAATGTAACCGAGTGCGTGTGTGTGTGTGTGTGTGTGTGTGTGGTCTAAGATTCACAGGTTCATGGATGATATGGAGGTCTCATAGGAATTTCTTCCATAACTGTACAAACACAGAGATACGGTAAATTAAATACAATACAGTACAGTTCTTTACAGATTTACCCAAACTTAACTGAACCAATTTTTCCAACTAGCAAAAGTATATTGTTAACTTATATTTTTATATCTCCAATGTTGCTAATCACAGACCAAAAATTTAAGAACAAATATATAAATAAATAAACAGGATAATTGTAAAACACACACATACTGTAACTGAGTTTGTACTTATTCTAAAAGGATTGCACAAATTTATCACATATTGCAGTGTGCTGTTCCATACAGCACTCACAAAAGACTTATAACAATGGTGACAGCACAAGAATACATATAAGAATAGATTCTCTATTTTAATTCACCGAGCACCAGTATATTTTGCGGTAGTAAGGCGTTACCTTTTGACCGACTATTAACCTTGAAACAGCGGGTAAGGATTCCATACTCCACCCCCACGTGTGCAAAAATGGAACAAAGGAACATGAAACATACCACTGATAAAGGCCACCACTTAACCTCTTCACTATAGAGAAGCTGCCTGTAATATTTTATTTGACTAATGCCAGATTATTATATTCAGCACAGAGAGACCTACAGACTTATATACACACAGAGGGTTAAGGGTTAATAAGTGTACAGTACTGCACAGTACTTGATTTTTGCAATTCTTAGGACACTAACAAAATTAGGAGAAAGACTTGATTACTGTACCTCATATACAAGTACTGTACTATACTGTTGGTAACTAGCATGGTAAATACCTAAGTGAACATGAGTAAGATAAATAATACTGTATACTGTACCGTACAAGTAATAGTAAAGTATAGTGATGCCTTAACAATAAAATTATTAATGAATTAAGTTTTCATTTTTATTTATGAAAATTAATTGCCTTGAATATTTTTTTCTGATCTTTACTGAAAATTAAGAGGAAAGGCAGATGAGGTGGATGATGTCTCACTCACCTCATCCATATCCTCTTTAAATTCCTCAAAAAATAAATAACATATCTGGTAACTTAATAACAAATTATTCAAAAAAACATAAATGAAAATGAAAAGTTTATTCACAAGTAAGAGATCTTTCTCACTTAACCATATGATGCAGGGATCACTATACTCAACAACTACTCTAATATATATTTCATATAACTTAAAAGAAAAATATTAACATCATCTACTCTACAGGATTAACCCCATCACTACCGGGACGACACTTTTGATATTTTATTCAGCACAGACACACCCCACTACACAAGGAGTTAATCAACTGTCTCTACTAACTTATTCTTTACTGGGATGCCACTTTTAATATTTTATTTAGTTAACACAAGGCAATTTTAATCATCACAGACTGATCCCACTATACAATGGGTTAAGGCAGAAGCCATATTTCTTTACTCTATATAAAAGAACATCCAGAGAGAGAATAATATTTCCTTCTTGGTTAATATATCCAGACTGTTCCATACTACAATGAAATAAAGGAATATATAACTGGCTGATGATCACAAGCTGTCAATATTCATCAGCATCATTGCACTGGTGTCCTCGATCACAGTCATAAGCATCCTGTACAATATCACTTTACTATCACACTTGTTTACTGAAGTCCATGGATAATTTCCTGAACCTCTAGTAATATTTTGCTTTGTCAGTGTTTTAGAGAAATGTTTTGCATACTGTATTGTCAATTATCATTTCACCACTTATCAACTGTAAACGTGCGAGCAGTTTGTTCGTTCTTTGTTACTTTGTTGTGAATTTTATTTGTCCAGTGTTAGTACCTGAAGGGAACCAGTAATATTTGGTAATGTCATACTGTACTGAATAACAACCTTCTCTCATGCGTCCGGGCCAAGCAGTACTTGAACCCATGACGTACTAGTGAGAGATGCGAGTTACCACTGTGTCGCCAACTCCATCATACTGCACATGTCTGTCTTAGCCTCACTCAATGAAGCTGATACTGTTATTAGTTGTTGTTGTTGTTGTTGTTGTTGTTGTTTTTTACTCTGGCCAGAATCATGAGCAACACATTTTCCTCCTCATTCACTCGTATTTATTCCTCCATTTGTTTTGAAAATTCATTACACTGTACAGTACTGTAAAACTTTAGTTACATAGACTATATAGCTCACCTTTCTTGAACATGTGAAAAATGTAGGCATTCCCTGCATTTACGGAATTTTGAAATTACTGGGCATCTCTTTGTTTGTCAAGCATGCATTCCTGATGACCACGACTAACAACGGGGCCGACTAACTCACCGACATAAATATCTGGAAGATGTTTGTAAATATTACATAAATAATTGTAATAAAAAATAGAGTAATTAAATTTATTGGAATGTAATTTGTTAATAAAATTTTATAACCAGTCAATGAATCAGGCATTGCCACAATAAAGTATCATACGCTGGGCAGAACTACTGTATCGTACACTGGCCAGATAGAACTATCGTACAGTAATCGTGCAGTTGGACAAACCGTATACATATTCTAATTATCATTTCAATAATAATTCATTTACTTCAAATGATGAACTAAGAAAACAACAAACAACAGGTCAATGAACAAGGACTCCCTGCACTTGTTCGTTCTCACTATACAGTATTTCTCATCTTCTAGCCTTCTCCCGCTATACTGCAGGGCAGCCACAACCAGGAGTAAACACAAACACATTCTTAGTCTTTCATTTTCCATATAATAAACAGTAAGTGATTGACTGATTCTTGTCCCCTGACATTATAAACTAACTAATTTGAAAGAAAATAAGTGTTTTGTTTTGTGCAGTACTTGATAGCCCAGTATGGTAATTTACTTTACCTCAAATATCACTGGTTCATTTTCCAAAAGATAATTTTCACAAGGTTCAGGTACGAATGGCATACAGTGCAGACTGACTACACCTTCCACGCCATTGTGATGATGGTGTGAGGCTCTACTGTGAGGTTCAGCTGACCAACCCTCTTGTCTGAGATTCTTGCTGTCATAGCATCATGACCCCTGAAATAACATAAACCATTACACAACTCAGTTCATCAATTACTTGTGTCAATGTTTGGTTGTGGGATTGTTTGTAAATAAACTAATATCTAAACTGCAGAAAAACTGTCCAACTGAGTAGTGTTTGTGTTAACGTGTCAAGGCAAAGTGTGATTTAGTGGTATCTCGTTTCTTCCCCTCATCATCAAATAGGGTTGTAATACTTCAATCTTTCATTAATGTCTCCTTTTACAAACTATCGTTAAAGTTTTATATAGTACGCCTGTACAGTCTATGAATTTTAGAGCCTTAACACTTTACAAGGGAGACAAACTTAACAACCCTCAGTACTGTACTGGATATAAAACATAACATAATTTTTATATGCACAGTTATATTATCTACCAGCTACGTACTTACTTTCATAATTAACAAGTACAGGTACAGATCCTCGAAACCAGATCTCATAAAACCAGAGATTCTCAAAAAATGAAAATTTTCTTCCCTGAGTTAGGTTATGCCATTTTCTTTATTCTGTTATTTAAGAAGTACCTGTACAGGAAAGCAAATGTTTGCCTGAGTTTGTGTGAGTGTGTGGAAGCAAAACCTGACATAGTCTACTGGTAAGCTTGGGGTAACATGGATGACCCAGTACGCAGGAAACCAGAAAATCCTTAAAACTGGTTCGGTCTTTGTCCCAAGGTCCCAAATTTGAGAGTCTATACCTGTAGTCAAAAGATGCCCAATGCCTCTCACTCCAACATGTATAACAAAGAGAAAGCTGTTGCCTCTGTCAGCACCAAAAAATGACCTACTTGTTCAGAAACACAAGCACTGTCGTGTTATCTGGACGGACAAATGCAGTGTGACTAAGGGAGGATGTTGTCCCTCCTGTATAAGTAGACTGTAATGCCACACGTCGACTCCCCTCGGGCAGGAACTTGGTGAAGTGAGCCAGGGCATAGTACATGGGCTGCTTGTAGAACTCTCCCTTAGGCTGTTGGATTACAGGGATGGCCAATTTAAACCAATGGTTTAAAGCAAATGGTAAGGCGTCAGATATACGAAAGTTGATATATCTAAAACTAGTGTACAGGTAGAACTTACTGCATTGATAATAATCGGTGAATCAACAAAGTTCTTAATCCAGTTCGGTCCACCTTTCACATCCAGAGCTAAGTTCCAGTCAGTCCAGCCTGACACCCAGTGTTCCAGGTTCTGCAAAGGTGTTGCTACAAGTAAGATGTTATCCTCATAGATTTACAATGTTAGCAGCAAACAATATCAGCAACACATTCAAGATCAATGTTCTCTTAACCCCAGGCAGCAGACTTACAGGAAGCACAACAACCCCTTAATACTGTACTGTACTGTATATGTGGCATGCTCAAGACCCCCCCCCTCCCCCCCAATACACACACTGAGACAGATACATCACAGGCCCTAAATAATTTCCACGCCCAACTCAAAGACAGACACAGCACCTCTATTATGTCAACAGCATAATCCTCGGCCCTGGTCCAGGACCCCAGCACCACCTTGAGCGGCTCCCATGGCCACTGTCCTGTAAGAGGGAAATATAATTAACACAACACTTCAGATACTGCTTCACTATTTATATCTATTGATTGTCTTTACTCCATTCCTAAGTAAACAGAAACAACTTCATTTAGGCTCAGGAACTAACAACTCCGGTATCGACAATTATTTTATTTTTAAATCAATATTAATTAAATAAAATTACAAGGCTGTTGATAGTGAAAATAAAGAGCATTGGATGAGGATGACTAAACAGGAGCACACATGAGTGAGGTGGCATCATCCCACTTAGATGGCTGTACCCTTTCCACACTAATCTGGCCCATAGGCCCTGCCCCTCTTCCATACTAATAGCTGATTGGGTCATAGTAAATTCAAACTAAATGTGTTCACAATTGGTAAGCAGATCTGTTATTATCTAAAATGATGTTAAATATATGAATTATCAAAATGCAAATGATTTCAAGGCATTAGCACTTCAGAGAGGATGTTAGACAATTTTAAATATTTAATATAAAAGGTCGACATATAAACACGCTTATATACGCGCAATCCAGTGGGAGGTAAAACACTCGGGGGAACCAATCAGCTATTTGTAGCTATAGACAAGGGGAGGGGCTTATGGGCCACCTTAGCGTGGAAATACTACAGGTTAGGTTATGTCGTCCAGATGGGAATCGTCCATGAGTGACACTGTACTATATAAAGTATCAATGAGTTGCTTGGAAATAAACATAATATGGAGAGACTTTACACGTATCACTCACGTATGGTACAGTTTTGTAATACATGCACCATATATGTAAAGTACTGTACACAAATACCGTACACAAGGAAAATTTTATTCCAAAATTTTCTGTTAAAGAACCTGAAATTTAGATTTTTTTTGTTGAACTGATTAAAATTAATAAAATAATAATAGATACAATTAAACAGCTACAGCAAGCCTTGTTATCTACCTGTACACGCCTCGGTATAGAGCAAGAAAAGCTCTGGGTGACGTTCATGTGTCAGGTCAAGGGTGAGGGTAGGGGTCAACCAGTCACTGTACCAATGGATGGCCACACCAGAAACATATGGAGCTGCATCACCGTCTATCATGATCTGGAAAGCCATCATGTTATTTTTACATACTGTACTATAAAGAAAGTAATGATACTTTTAACACATCATTAGGAAGTACTATAATTACACTTTCAACACATCTAGAAAAAACCACTACTGGTGTAACTTATAGTAATCCTTCATATAATAGAAGTTCAAGCTGCAGTATTTCATCTATACAAATTTTTTAAATTATAGCCACTAAATCTGGAACGTGGCACAAAAATTTGACCTAACGGATATTGGGTAAATTTTCAACGCTTGTATATTTTGAGTGTTTAATCATGAGGTTAACTCCTTGTGTATGAGCTCCCCTCTGAGCTGAATAAAATCATCTGCCATTAATCAAATGAGATATTAAATTGGTGTCTCTGTAGTGAAAGGGTTAAATAAGATAGGGTACCTAAGCTTCAAGTGATCCCAGATTTTTACAAGATTCCTCCTGGGTTTAGATAAGATACATAAAATACTGAAGACTTACATCATCCACCCACTTTGGAAGGAGGAAGCGGTTGTCATCCAATATCATGACCGTGAGGTGACCAAGGCTGTTGTTGTGCAGAGCTGGACCGAAGTGCTGCCCGATCCATTTTGCCTGACCCAAGACACAAATACATATTACATAAAATACAGATGTCAAGGAAACACTGAGAAAGAAGGATGTTTTAAAGTGAAATGTTGATGAGCTGTAACCATGGGGTGTTTAGTTGTACTGTAACTATTGGATGTTTAGTTAAACTGTAATCATGGGATGTTTAGTTGTAGTGTAACCACATCTCACAAAATGCACCAGCCACTGTAACAGGTATAAGTGCCAGGTGACTGTACAGTACGTGTTTACATGGGAATCATTTGCTTCTTGAAAATCATATTAAATCATTCACGGAAGATGTAATGAAAACCACACCTGATCTTCTGAAGTCCATCCAACGGCATTAAAATTTACTAAACCTCCCAGGCCATCAGTTGGTTCATTTTGTGTAGTGAGTCCCCAGAAGGTGATATTGTGTTCTCCATAACTCTTAATAAATCTGTAGATATAGAGACAGATACATACAGTATATGACTTCATTTTAGACTGTGTACATAACTTGTCACAATGAAACACAACCACAAATTACTGAGGATTTACATTCCAAATCCAATATGTTTATTTACATCCCCCCCCCCCCAAAAATACAGCATTACAAAAAAATTATCATAACTCGCTCATGGACTAAACAAACTAGTGGTGCATTATTTACCTCACATGGTAGTCTGCCCAGGTGGAGTACATCTTGAGCAGTAACTTGCCCTTGCCTGAAATATTGTTGTTGTCTTTCATCCAGGCTGGAGCACCCCAGGCCGAGCCAAATAGTTTGAGAGGAGTTGAGGACAAGTTTAATGCTCTGTGTATCAGCGGGATCTGAAGAAAAAACAGGTACAGGACTGTATTAGACTTTTTTCATGGGTTTGTGTGTAATTATTATACATATGAGTAATCATGTATTGATTATCAGACAGACAGATAGATAGATAAATAGATATCCAATAAAATCATCATGCAAGTTTACTTTTATTGATAAATGTTGATGCATAGTGCATAATGCGGTATTGTATGCTCATTGTCAAATTTGACCTTTTGACTCTTAATTTTGATCTAAACCTGAAATAAAGACTTGATAAGGAGTTTCACACTTCATCTGGGGACAAAATATATACATTTCAGGTAAACTTCTTCAAAATATTCTTTGATACAACTGCTATGCTTTGAACAAGGCCAAGTTTCTTTATTAAATGAACTTGCATATGCAGATCTGAATCTTAATCTTCATATTTTACCCCTTTGAGGATGATAGTTTAAGTTACAACCCTTTGAAGATAGTGGCTTAAATTATAACTCTTACAGGATGATAGTTTAAGCTATAATCCTTTGAGAAGTATGGTTAAAGGTATAACTCTTTGAGGATGATGGTTAAAGCTATAACTCTTTGAGGATGCTGGTTTAAGCTACAAAAGAATGATAATTTGGGCTATACTTCTGAAAGGGTTAAACCATCATCCTCAAAGGGTTAAAATGAACATATTAAGATAATAGTTTTCAAGCTCCTGACTGTTTCTTCCTATTTTTACTGAATGTGATGTTTCACACACTGACTCCAACACATCTACCCGCAGTCTTCTCAAAACATCACATAACACGCCAAGCTTTGCAAAATCCTTTAAAATTACCTCCACTTTACCAACTCAATCTATATTTACATACCCTAATATTTATGACTCTAAAAATAAAATTTCCAACAGCTAAAGCAATAAAACTTGGACGATTTACTTATTAATCTATTCATTATTTCCCTCCCCAAAAAACTAAACCTTACAAGATGATAAAACAAATTCAAACCATTATATTACATCCATTACATAAGAAACCTCTAGATATACCTTGTACTTCAAATCTTCGTCGGCAAGTGAGAAGTGAGAGAGATCCATATCAATGTCCCCATCCTTCAGGTCATCGTATGTGTATGGGTGGGTGCTAAAATCAGTGCCACCAATAGGTACACGACCCAGGTTGTACTCGAGGCCATCCACAGAATAATAAGCTCTGAAAAAGATACAAAATTCAGTATGTCTCCAGTTTTACGATTAACACTAACACGTGTTATTAAAGTACAGTTATGATATATTCACAATAAGAGAGTGAGATAGTGAGGTATTTGAGAGAAGGGGAAAGGAAAGACCAGAAGTATCAATTAGAGGAAAAGAGTGTCACATGATGCCTGGAGAAACATCAAGACTGATAATCATGGAGAAAACCAAGCCTGAGTCACCCTATTTGATAATACTGTATTGTATATGACACTTAATTTGATATAGATGGACAATTTCAACCTGTAAAAGAATTTCATATGTTTTCAAGTGACTATTTTTTCCTCCCATTTTTGTACAGGATCAAGGGGTCAAAGGAGGGAAATATCAAATAAAGAGTCATGTTAGATAACTGTGTAAAGCAACATGAAAGGGCCAACACAATAGTATAAATGACAACAAAGGGATAAACTACATAGATATTTGAGACCTTGCTGACTTGCCTTTACAGCAGGATGTATGAATGAATGATGAATGTGTATTATAAACAGGAAGAGGCATCATAAAGTTAAGAAAATAAACTTAACTTCCTCTTCTTACAAACTCATCATCGTCATCATTGTTTCACGGCCATTCTCCACGCTTGTATGTGTGGGCGATGATTACCCGATAGCTCTCCATACTCTTGCAGCTTATCTCGTCAGGTTCTTTACTCCGAGGACATTTCTTATAACCTCTCCCCACAGTAATTCACAACTAAGACCTCAAATAGACAAAATAGAAATAGAGGAACTATACACCCGTATTGTCTCCAGAATGTTCACCACTTCACTTACTTCAATATCATATCCTGCATTGTTTTTGGCAGACTCAAAATATTCACACCACTAGCATCAGTGAAAGCTCCTCCAAAGCCAATGATCTTCTGGTATTCCACACTGCTGTCTACCTCAACTTCCAAAGCTGTCAAACCCAGAATAAATAATTATAAACAATACTTACATACCAGTACTGTACTATGTAGAAGGTAAAGGTTAATTGAACTGTTTCCTTCCCACAACATAACACTGGATATACCAGAAGAATTACCCGGTATACTAAAGATGCTTCCTTGTTAGCGGAGATGCTTCCATTCTTTGATTATAATTCATACTACCAACCACTTCACGATCTACAAAATTAAACTCAACACTGACTAATTTCTGCATACACCATCTTCTTCTACTCACATTAAAAGGCATATACAGTAAATTTGTACAGTAACATACTAATGCTGCTCCATTTAAACTTTTCTTCTCCCCTCCATAAATTTAATTTTTTTCAATGGGTCCCAATCCTAACAGCTTTCAGTTTCAATGATGGACAGACAGATGGACAACATCACTGCTATATCTCCTCAAACTTTAAGTTATGGGATAAAACAGTGACGGTTCATCTAATGGTACAGTACCTCATAAAATCTTGAAATCCCTTTTGCTGTATACTTTACCAGTATGTAAGCTGTACCATCCAACTTCTACACATATATTGACTGTACCTGTACTTCTAGTAAGAGTGACAATCAAACTGCTACACACAAAAAAACAAAGACCCAAAAATTCCATTAATGAACCTTCAGTTCCATGATGCATAACATAAAACTTAAACAACAAAATGATAATAAATTCATAAATATACATACAAGGCTGTATCACATTGCCATGTTCTAAAAATATTCCAGTTGAGAGTTGCCATCGTAGTCCTGCCTTACTGGAGGTCACAATCAGAGCCTCACCAGCATCAGGCAGCTGCACTGGTGGGAAAGTGTCACAGTGGGAGGTATCACACACACACACAATACTGCCATGACCATAGTTGCGACTTTTACAACCACCTGCAAGAAAACATTTGAATCCAATGAACTATGGATTGTGGAGGTAATAATATTTAAGAAAGAGATAAAGGGCTGGTGATATGTGGTCAAGTGGGAAGAATAAATGGATACAGGGTAATGGCATAAACAATCATGTACTGTACTCTGGAGGTCTGAGAGTTAAGATTACATTAATGGGAGTCCTACACTTAATGTTAAAAAGGAATCTGAGCACAGAAGAGGATGTACAGGTACTTTACACTAACAAATAGAGGTGTTGAGGATATTCTCTATTAGACATCTTCCTATGGTGGTATACTATACAGTACATACACTAAATTACCTACACACAGTTATTCTTATAGATATTTATGAACAATAAGGAAGAAGATTATATTTCATAAATTACAACTAAATTTGTTCATCAACAATAAAAATACTAACATCATATCCAACAACTTTACAACACATATAAAGTAAACTCCAGAGCCTCACATTACACTAATACTCTACATATAGTCCTAAAAGTCTCACTATGGGCACTGTACTAATAATCTCACCTCTGTTTTCAATATTAGGTAAGTTCATGGGACCGTGGGCTATGTTAGGCTGAGCTACGGCCATCTTCTCTCGCTGCACCGCTGCTGCTTCATCCTTCGCCTAGAAAAATTCAGGTTCGTTAAAATCTGTGATCATAATGGATGTTGTTATATTGGGATAATATTACTTATGGTTACATGATGCTAAACATAAAACAGGTTGAACTTAATAAATCCAAATATCAGTTATCGGAAAACTTTGAACATCAGAAACAATATGAGTGGTGGCAATTTTAACCAACCAGCAGCCACAGATGTACTTTAATTATTCTTGTAATTCACTATAGAGTCAACAGCCTACACAGCCCTGCACTTCCAAATCCTTAATTGCTGGTACTGTACATAATTAACTGTACAGTATTGTACTCGTTTTTGTATTATAAGTGACCTTATTTATTATGTTATGTACTTAATTTAATTTCAGTTAAACAAATTATATATTAGTTTATAATTATCATACAGTATTTTATTCAGGGCTTAGAGAAATATTAGGGTATTCTCTAATGATCTTCCTTTAACCGAGAATTTCAGTTCTCCAAAATGGCTCTGGTCCACACAATTTGGGTTTTTTAAGTGCAGCCTCTAGTATATATTCAGAGGACTAAACTACAGTACTGTACATGTATTAATATCATGAACACACTTGACTAATATCTAACACAACACATCAACATCAAACAGAACACAAACACAGAGCACAAGTATTTAATCAAAGCGGTTTTCAGTAAGTTATATAAGTTATGCCTAATTCTTTACCCTATGTTACAAAATAAAACTTGTAGTTAATGTGAGAATACAACTGTAGAGTCCCTGAAAAATCTCTCCGTGTGATTTAAGAATTCACATCCCTGGTACAAGAAAAACTAGAAACTATGGAAGACTTTATGAGAAAAACAACCCTTTTACTATTGTTTAGATGCAACACAAGCAACACTTTTACTGTTCTTCAGATGCAACGCAATACAACTCACAATGCATTCTTGCATCTTGATCAGTTTGTTCTTCAAGTCAGTTATCTCATAAGTTTTCTTGCTGTCATCCTGTTCCTTGTTTTTCAGTAAGTTTTCCTCTTCTTCTAATTTCTTTTTTAACTTGACAGATAAACCGTCCATTTCATGTACCTTTTTTTGTAGCGCTGCGTTCTTGTTGTCCGACTGTTCCTGCTTCATGGCACTGAAATGTGAAAAAGTAAATGGATCTGTGAGTTTTATCTCAAATAATAATATAATAATAATATTATTATTATTATTATGAATATCATTATTATTATAATTATTATATAATAATAAACAAGCAGACATTTTGGCACCATACATAGTACTGTAGAGGCTTTCTTTACTCTGTTGGTGTCATCACACTTAGACGATCAGGTAAAGTTAAATCATCAATTATTATCAGTCCTGGGCATTAGAGGCCTTCCATATAAAGACATAAATAAACTGATTGTCCAACAACATGGTCCTGGAACAACTTTAGGGACAACTATATAAGAAAACTTGTTTCTTACTTCTGAAATATCCAACAAAGATTGGAGGAATTGCAACTTTCCTACTTTTGTTTTCTGATTATTTTGTCCTAAAGAGAGAACTACATTGATGAGCCACCTCCATGTGGCTGCCATTACCAGCCGTTTACATGAGCTGAGCTCTGAAAGACAAAGTTTTATGGTTAATAATGCTTTGGTTCCATACACACAATACACCTGCAGTAACTTATGAAAAAAAAATTCTGTAGACGATTCTTAATTATTTCTTAAATTCATAATAATCAAACAAATGACAAGGTTTTACAGCAGTTTTTATATCAATAGTTTGGCTCTTCTTTTTTTATTTCTTACCTAAAGAGCATCTCATCATACTCACAAACACGTTCCACCAACCCGCAACCAATGATTTATCATAAATAAGATAAACCAACCAACCTAACGTAACCAAACCTAACCTAACCTAGGGTAGAAGAGCATTATTTTAGGTTAGGTTAGGAAAGGTAGTTTGTTTTGCATACTATTTTATTATAAACAGGTCATATAGTTGATGCCCCAAAGATAAATGTCAGAATCATCTAAAACAGCAAGAAAAAGGCGGTCCGACTAATTACCCAAATGTACCCAAATGTAGCAAAATGTAGCCGGAATGAAGTCAAATAATGGTCCTACATGAATAAATCGGGCTGTGAATCACTTCTCGATTATTATTTGGTGTCATAAAGTCACAAAAAATTGGAGAACTTTTACTTTCATCTGAGTTAATAGATCGAGTGCATGTACCTAACCTAACCTAACCTAACCTAACCTAACCTAACCTAACCTAACCTAACCTAACCTAACCTCAACTAATATTTGGTGTCACGAAGTCACAAAAAACTGGTAAACTTAATTTAATCTGAGTTAATAGATCAAGTGCATGTACCTTACCTTACCTTACCTTACCTTACCTTACCTTACCTTACCTAACACAACACAACTCAGATTAAATTAAGTTTACCAATAAGAGAGTAAAGACAGCACTCAGTAGTTAAGTGGTTGACATGCCAAGAGTGACATAATACACACACAGACATTCTCACCTTCTTTTAATCTCTTCTTGTAATTTTTCTAGTTTATGTTGTGCGTTGATATGTTGTGAAGATAATGACCAGTAATTAAAGCCCAAGATGAGGACTATTACGAGTAAAACCACCACAATAAGTGGAGATGACCGGCTACCACCTGTGGGTATCATGACTGTTGGTAATTCAGGATAACTAACAGTAATACAGTCAACAGTCACCCGGTATAACTGTACACTAGAGGCCGAGGTAATGAAGTAAAGTACTCAATATGTGTTAGTATTATAACAACCTTCCCAGACGACTCAAGGCCACACCAGGATCCGGATTCAACAGCAACTTTCTGGGGTGAGATTATCAAAGTTTTAATAATTATGATAAATAAGAAAACGTGACCAAAATAGAGACATTATTAAGGCTTTGCAACATTACTGGTATTACCTAGGACTATTTTGCTAGTATAAATTCGCGTGTATTTATTTTTTAACTAAACGCGTAAAGAGAACTGACCAGAGACCAAAAAAAAGGTAAATGTAAATCTATTCAATTATTTCGGAAAAAATTTGTTTTAAAATGAAGGAAATTATTTGAAATTAGAATAACGCAGCACGATAGAAAGTTCCAGAATAAAGCCATGAGACATACCTACAGGAGTGCAATAGTGGAAACTGATAAAGTTATTATTGCTTTTTATTTTACTTTACTTCATCATTGTTGATTTTATGGCGTTTTTATCACAGAATCGAGGAGGTGAAGTATCCTAACACCACCCCTGACAAGGCTAGAGGAAAATTGGCCAAAATGGGGAGTGGGGACTTTAATTAGAAAACCTTGTCAGATTTCGGTTATACACTTGATAAATTGTCTTTAATAATAAATACTTGAATCAATATAATGTTTAATCTACTTAAAACTATTGCTGGAATGTTATGTGGTAGCAGTATCGTGACTTCAAAACGATAATTACTCACACCAATTTCACAAACTGGCATCTTAGCAGCCAGCATAGTAACAACTTGGTGCTGCTCCATGAATTAACAAATGACTGGATTTTTTAATCTTGGTCACGAACAAGAAGGCGGAAAATAGTATTAACACATGTTGGAAGGTGAACTCTAATCTCTCGAGGAAACGACTCTTCAGAAATCCTGGTAAGTGCATAAAAAAGTTTCAAGGGTCATGCAGTACAGTACAACCCCTGATCTAAATAACCAGAGCTCATTGTCTGGAAACTTCAAAATTTTACAAATACATTAGAGCTTTAACTATATCAACCCTTAATCAATAGCATATGTGAAAATAGAGTACTAGTGGATATTTATTATGCCGGTAGATGCACACAGTAGGTGAGTAACGTTCCAAGGCGGTGATACCTGGCAACGTTTACCGGGCGGCTGTCAAACACGATGACGTCATGTTCAGTGTAGCCTCAGCTGTGGTGGGAAGAAGATGTCAGCCGTTGTCGTCTTCGCTGTTTTTCTCCTCATCTGTACTATTCTCAAGTTTTTGAATGTCACCAGCCCTCCTAGACCGCCTCGGCTAGTATGCAGTGACTCTAAATTCCTAGAACTCATCCTGAAGTATTGTCCACACCTAAATGAAACGTGAGTAGAGTTGAAATACGAGAAAACGTGAAGTGTGTTTGGGAACCTTCCTCTTCCACATCAGCTAGACGGGGGAGGGGCGCGGCCCTTGTTCACTCTGCTGTTGTGCTGTTGTCTGCGAAAATGACACCCTTGACAATATATTGCTTAGAATTGAAAGGAAATGTGATACAGACTAGCCTGGCTGTGTGTGTCATCTGGACTTTCACTCTTTCACCAGGTGACTGCTAACGGTGCCGAAATTCGCGTCGTGTAGATACGAGGTCCAGTATTTATACCAACCTGTTAATTATAATTATAACTTTCTCACCAAAATAAATTAAAAACAAAAATACCTTATTGTTTAATCAGAAGGCACATCCAATATTTCTTAACATATGATTTAAAAGCTAATAACGCATGGTATTTAAATTATCATTACTTTAATAACACGAAAAATGCCATGCAATTCTTTTCATTAACGACCCTTAAGGAAACATTATAATAACAACTTGAACAAATGATATGGTAACAGCGAATTGTTTGTACAATAGTGAAGTTGCTAGCTTTTCTGTGATGTTTTGTTTGCAGTAGAGATGGATGAAAGCTATTTGAGGAACATGTAATTTTCAGTTGTCACGTAAACAAAAGTCAGCTGTGTTGAGACATCATCTGTTCCTTACTGTAGACATAAGCTGTTCCTTACTCTAAATGTCAGCTGTTCCTTATTGTAGACGTTAATTTTTCCTTACTCTAGACGTCAGCTGTTCCTTATTGTAGATATCAGTTGTTCCTTACTATAGACATAAGCTTTTCCTTAATCTAGACATCAGCTGTTCCCTGTTGTAGACATCAGTTGTTCCTTACTCTAGACATCAGCTCTTCCGTACTGTAGATATCAGCTTTTAGTGTTGTTCCTTACTCAAGACATCAGGTGTTATTTTTGTTAGGTTATGGTTAATGTTATCAAGTATTAACATGTGTTGAGTTGATTTATTAGTGCCGTGTAACAAGTTAGTTAGATGTCACTTAAATTAGATGTCTGCTTTGTAACTCGCGAAGTAGAATGCCATTTAGTAATATATTAAATGTTTGGTGGTGGTGTTATATGTTGGCATTGATGTTAGACTCTATTAGAATATGTTTATTGTCAAGTTATTGGTATGCTATGTTTATTATCAAGTTAATATATTAATTGTTCGATGCATTAGAATTGCTATTAAATTGTTAGGATAGATGTTAGCAGTTGCATTCTTACCTTTTGGATTTGGCATACATGAATAAATATGTTTAAATGCTACTGTAGGCTATGCATATGTTGAATGGAGTTCACTTCCTGGGTTTAAATTCTTTCTCTCTCTCTCCTGACTTCAAGTAGTTTAAAAAGAATACCGATTGATATGCAGCTGTGGAATTCAATAATCCATTTTTTTCTAATATATCGTCATGTTGGTCAACCTGTTCATTCACGAAGGTTTGGGTGGGTATTTCGTTACCTGTAGATTATGTTACGCGTGATCACGGAGACCTCACCGCAGTACTGTAATATAATCCACACCAGCATAACTAACGTAATCCTGGCGCTACGATCTTGGTTCTTTCTGCTCTTAGGTTTAAGTATGGTTAGTTGGGGTCGTATTGTTATGCTAAGGATTCCAAGTTCGTGCTGATTCCAAAATATATCGCAAAAATGTATTATCAATGGAATGTGTCAGGTGTTTAAGTGGGTATGAGATTTTACGTTCGGTAACGCAGTTCATGCAGGCAGGAAATTTGTTTAAGCTACACTAGTCAATTTTGTATCGCCAGTCTGTCAAAGATATTTCCCTCATAGATATATTGTAGTTATATGACGATCCGGAATCAAAGTAAGTAATGCAATAAGCTTTCATTATTTGTCCACGTGTTTTGATATTTTGTTTTATTGATAACCATTAAATTATGATCATATTAAAAACTAAACAGATTTTCATGAGAGAGGACAGGTATCGCCTCTAATTGGTGTACCACCGTGTTGTGCTGTCTCGTACTTTGTCAGGAATTTTGCTTCCTTAATATCACGATATTCTTGATTATGTTACCTAAGTCGGTTGTCTCATTAGTCATTAAACTAATTTTGTAATTCTCTCGGTAATGGCTGTTGTAATGTTGCTTTTTATACCCAAATGACACACGCGCGCGCCCTCTCGTGTCAAGTTGCTTCTGATTTATAGTAGTATCGTCACGCATGTATGAGCCGGGTGGTATGTTCTGTCGTGAAGAGATGGTTCTGCTGGTAATAACAAACCGTAGTCATGAAAATTATATACATCTCCCTAGGTGTAGAGGCGAGTGGCATATTGGCCGACAAGTTAAGACCGGGAATACTTGGTAGTCTTGGTGTTTCATTTTGCTTCGATTTTGTTTTTAATTTTCAAGCGTGTATATTTTCGATACTTCATAGGCAAACTTGTAACAATTGTTATCTTGCCCTTGAAAAACATCTAACAGTCATTCTCTAATATATCTAGACATTGCAGCGTAATATAAAAGCTGGCTATTCAGTACGTGGTAACTTTCCCAGCACCGGATGGGGCCCACCTGATAATTTGTGGACTGACAGCGATTTATATAATGTGTTATTCGACGTTTGTCCACATTTAGAACCACTATCAGGTCACTTAGGACAGTATTAATTCTGGATACGTGAGAGATTGTGTTGCGGATCCTTGTCTTGTTCCCTAAATGATTTGTGTTGGTATTAGGTATTAATTTTGACCCTTTATAGCAATGGTTTTGTATATCTAACGCAGAAACCCATTGAGCTATCCGTCACAAGTGTAATTTAACCTCTCCTTCCACTCTCTCTTATTGATGGTTCGTACATTTAGTTTTACGGATTACATGAAGATTAACTCTAGTCTATTTCACTTAAGAACTAAAACCCCTAACGCTACCTGGGGGTTAGGTTAAGTTAGATTATGTTAAGTCAGGTTATGTTAGGGTGGTTAATCTTAAGGTGAAATAAACTTGAGGGGCAAATCTTCAGCCGATGGATTTAAGTTGGATAAGAAAAACAATATCATAATGACATAACAGGTATAAATCACACTTTAGACAACCTTAACTAGATACGCTCTCCAGTTAGGGGCCAAATTGACCCACACTGGAAGATTAGTTATGTAAATTATGTCCCCTGGCTGATGTTAAGTGAACGTATCTCATTATGTAAAGTTTCAATGTAATTTTTTCTACGTTCTTTGTATGTTAGCCAGTAAAACCGTGAAGTGTATTGTTATGTACGCCGTTACGAGGATTCTTCAGTGTATGACTGTTTGAGTGTGGACGATGAATAGTTGTGAGTCTTAAGATATGGTGTGAGGGTGTGCTACTCCAGTGTGTCCGGGTGTGTTAGTGAAGAGGCACCCCCCATTGTCTGTGTCCTCTTGTGAGCGTCCGTCGGTCACAATATACTGTAGGAGCTGTATCCGCCAGGGACGATTTTAACTATATACTGGATAACTTTATATATCAGTTATATAAGAAAGATTGATTACACATGAGAAAAAAATGCAAAAAATTTAGTTTTAATTATTGATTTATTTTTTTTATTATTTTATGTGATGAATACTGTACATACTTAGTGTTAGTAACATTATAGGCAAACCATTACAAGTAAACATAAAAAAATAAGATAATGTGAAGACTTTAGCTTGTGGGGGGTTGAGGTGTACGAGGCTACTGAGATGGTACAGAAAATAAATTTGTCTCGTTATCCTGTTGCTTTTTGTTGTTGTTATCGTCATTGGGTATTGCAGTGATAAAGCTTCATTAAATACTTAAGAGTTTTATAAAAGGTGACCCTTGTATTTACTGTTCTTGGCTTACATTATCACAGGTCGTTTTAACTTGTTGCCGGGCTTTACATACATCCTTTATTTCACTGGTCGGTTGGATGGACGTTATGTGGTGGGTTTGAGGACAGGTGTTGGTGCTCTGTATAACCAAGACACTTTCAGGTGTTGGGGAGGGCGCTGGGGTAATGATCTAGCGGTCATTAATCACTCAAGTTATAGAAATTTCTGGATACAACTTTTGAAAGGGTTCAGTTGGAGGTGTCACCCAGAAGAAATATTACGTTAGGTAAAAAAAATATTATATCTTAAGGATGAGCCAATAGGCCCGCTGCAGTTTTCTCCGTTCTTATGGTGTATCAATTATTTCTTACCCCTGTTTTGCAATACTGTGTGTGTGTGTGTGTGTGATTAACATTGTTTAGTCTGAGCGGAATAACATAGCATGATAATCACAGTCTTATAAGCTGCATTATGTCACTATGTATGTTGTCTTCCAGTGTATGTTGAGTAATAAACACTGTAATCAATAAAATTATTTACGGGATGTACAGTAATGTAGAGTTTGTCGACTAATTAGAAAAACAAATCAATAAAAACAATTTCATATTAAGGTAAGTTAGGGAGAGCTAGGGGCCGCTACCAGGCTGTTTTTAATGAAAGCATAGATTATTGACAACCTATTTAGATTGTCGACAATGTGTTGGGTCGCCACCGCCACGAAGGAAGCGGGCGTGAGTCAGGGCCGCTTAATGTGCATCAAATGTGTATGCTCATACTCAACATTTATATTCATATATTAAGTATGTTGTACAGTTATGTATGTACCTTGTTTGGCCCAATGACTAAATAAAGAGGTAAATATATGAATTAGCCTGAGCGGTTATTCTCCCTTGTAACGTGTGGCAGGTTTTCACTAATTCTGGACGCCAATCTCCATATGTTGACAAGCTCAATGGATTTTTTGGTAATGTCATCCCGGCCCACACTACCATAATTATGCCATTTCTATGAACCATACACAACCACCGCCCACTACACTTGAGGTTTGGTTCTGGGAAGTTGTAGATTATGACGCACTCACTGTTGAGCATGGAGTGAGTGTGTGGGCCAGTGATGGACCAGCAGGGAAAGGTTGCGGCCTAATCTATACAGTGGCAACGGTCTGGCATATGCTGTGATGCTGGT